GTTGTAGTGTACTGGGTGGAGAAGAGGGCAATGTTGCAGTGTACTGGGTGGAGAAGAGGGCGGTGTTGAACTGGGTGGGGAAGAGGGCGGTGTTGCAGCGTACTGGGTGGAGAAGAGGGCAGTGTTGCAGTACACTGGGTGGAGAAGAGGGCAATGTTGCAGTGTACTGGGTGGAGAAGAGGGCAGTGTTGTAGTGTACTGGGTGGAGAAGAGGGCAATGTTGCAGTGTACTGGGTGGAGAAGAGGGCGGTGTTGTACTGGGTGGGGAAGAGGGCGGTGTTGCAGCGTACTGGGTGGAGAAGAGGGCAGTGTTGCAGTACACTGGGTGGAGAAGAGGGCAGTGTTGTAGTGTACTGGGTGGAGAAGAGGGCAGTGTTGTAGTGTACTGGGTGGAGAAGAGGGCAATGTTGCAGTGTACTGGGTGGAGAAGAGGGCGGTGTTGTACTGGGTGGGGAAGAGGGCGGTGTTGCAGCGTACTGGGTGGAGAAGAGGGCAGTGTTGCAGTACACTGGGTGGAGAAGAGGGCAATGTTGCAGTGTACTGGGTGGAGAAGAGGGCGGTGTTGTAGTACACTGGGTGGAGAAGAGGGCAATGTTGCAGTGTACTGGGTGGAGAAGAGGGCAGTGTTGTAGTGTACTGGGTGGAGAAGAGGGCAATGTTGCAGTGTACTGGGTGGAGAAGAGGGCGGTGTTGTACTGGGTGGGGAAGAGGGCGGTGTTGCAGCGTACTGGGTGGAGAAGAGGGCAGTGTTGCAGTACACTGGGTGGAGAAGAGGGCAATGTTGCAGTGTACTGGGTGGAGAAGAGGGCAGTGTTGTAGTACACTGGGTGGAGAAGAGGGCAATGTTGCAGTGTACTGGGTGGAGAAGAGGGCAGTGTTGTAGTGTACTGGGTGGAGAAGAGGGCAGTGTTGCAGTGTACTGGGTGGAGAAGAGGGCGGTGTTGTACTGGGTGGGGAAGAGGGCAATGTTGCAGTGTACTGGGTGGAGAAGAGGGCGGTGTTGTAGTGTACTGGGTGGAGAAGAGGGCGGTGTTGTAGTGTACTGGGTGGAGAAGAGGGCAGTGTTGTAGTACACTGGGTGGAGAAGAGGGCAATGTTGCAGTGTACTGGGTGGAGAAGAGGGCAGTGTTGTAGTGTACTGGGTGGAGAAGAGGGCAGTGTTGCAGTGTACTGGGTGGAGAAGAGGGCGGTGTTGTAGTACACTGGGTGGAGAAGAGGGCAATGTTGCAGTGTACTGGGTGGAGAAGAGGGCAGTGTTGCAGTGTACTGGGTGGAGAAGAGGGCAGTGTTGCAGTACACTGGGTGGAGAAGAGGGCAATGTTGCAGTGTACTGGGTGGAGAAGAGGGCAGTGTTGTAGTGTACTGGGTGGAGAAGAGGGCGGTGTTGTACTGGGTGGAGAAGAGGGCGGTGTTGTACTGGGTGGGGAAGAGGGCGGTGTTGCAGCGTACTGGGTGGAGAAGAGGGCAGTGTTGCAGTACACTGGGTGGAGAAGAGGGCAATGTTGCAGTGTACTGGGTGGAGAAGAGGGCGGTGTTGTAGTGTACTGCGTGGGGAAGTGGGCGGTGTTGTACTGGGTGGAGAAGAGGGTAGTGTTGTAGTGTACTGCGTGGGGAAGTGGGCGGTGTTGTACTGGGTGGAGAAGAGGGCAGTGTTGCAGTGTACTGGGTGGAGAAGAGGGCAGTGTTGTACTGGTTGGAGAAGAGGGTAGTGTTGTAGTGTACTGCGTGGGGAAGTGGGCGGTGTTGAAGTGTACAGGGTGGAGAAGTGGGCGGTGTTGCAGTGTACTGGGTGAAGAAGTGGGCGGTGTTGTACTGGGTGGAGAAGAGGGTGGTGTTGCAGTGTACTGGGTGGAGAAGATGGCGGTGTTGTAATGGGTGGAGAAGAGGGCGGTGTTGCAGTGTACTGGGTGAAGAAGTGGGCGGTGTTGTACTGGGTGGAGAAGAGGGTGGTGTTGCAGTGTACTGGGTGGAGAAGAGGGCGGTGTTGTAAAGGGTGGAGAAGAGGGCGGTGTTGCAGTGTACTGCGTGGAGAAGAGGGCGGTGTTGTAATGGGTGGAGAAGAGGGCGGTGCTGTAGTGTACTGGGTGGAGAAGAGGGCGGTGTTGCAGTGTACTGGGTGGAGAAGAGGGCGGTGTTGTAGTGTACTGGGTGGAGAAGAGGGCGGTGTTGCAGTGTACTGGGTGGAGAAGAGGGCGGTGTTGTACTGGGTGGAGAAGAGGGCGGTGTTGCAGTGTACTAGGAGGAAGAAGAGCACTGTGTTGTGGTTGTGGCACTGGTACCATCGACCAGTAACCACCCTCCTCACATCTCCCGTGTCTTCTGAATTACCCCCTCAGTGGCTGCAATGCGACCTGACTGAACCTGATCAGATTCCTACCACACACAGTTGTTACTGTGAAACAGTAGAAACAGTTACTTCATCTGAGACTTGTTTTGATCTGCTAGTACTGCAGTAAAAGATTTGTTGAAAAACAGTTGGAGGAATCAAAAAGCATGTTTCTTTGCCCTCTTTTTAAAAAATGTTTTGAGGACAGAAAAAAGTTTTTGAAATCAAACCTTAGTCTTTGAAAGGCTTAATTGTTTGATAGGCATCACTTAAAAGTTGACAGATGACAAATTAGACACAATTTATGGATAACAACTTCTTTATTTACTGTAAAGGCGACGTTTTGGTATAGATCCTTATACCGTTGTCAAGCAAGGCTGACATTGCTTGCTTGACAACGGTATATGGATCTATACCAAAACGTCGCCTTTACAGTAAATAAAGAAGTTGTTATCCATAAATTGCCTCAACTTTGTCTTTGAATGGCATTTAGAAGTGATACACATAAGGATGTGAGTTCATGGACGTCTCTTCCCTAATCAAATGTCTATACTGCCACATGTTATTTTGTTCAAAACTCAAATTTCGTTATTATGATAGTAAATTTAATAATAATGGATTCATATATTGTCACAATCTGACTACATAAACCCCGAGTGCCCTTACTGACCTGTACAAAAACTGATATGAGATAAGGTCATTTATTGTGTCACATTGGCAGTTGACCAAAATATATTTGTAAGAAAAAAATCTGACAACTCCTAAATTCCTTTCAGTGAGATGTGCTCTTTTGTTGAAACAATATTTCAAATAAAACCTCACCAAACTTCACCAATCACTGACATTTTTTAAAAAGATTTCCTAAAGAAAGGTATTTTCAGTTTGGCACCAAAACCTTTTGTACTTTTTTTCAGATCTACTAATGAAATAAATCCTGTAGACCAAGAAATAAATAAAACTGTGGCTTACTTTCAGTAATTCAAAATAAAACTTTCTCAGATCTAGACATTTTAAGAGATAAATGATTCTAAACACAAAATGAGAATCAATGCCAACAAGTTAATACTGCAATCTACATGCTTGGGACTGTGTTGTTCGTGACCTTCACCAGGAGGTAGCCAAGGTCATCAGTGAATAGTGAGTGTGGTTTTAGTTAGTGAGTGAGGTTCCTGCAATATCATGGCGGGGGACGCCAGAAATGAGCTTCACACTTTGTACCCAAGTCAGAATCAAACCCACACCATCGGCTTGACAAGTGAATACTTTAACCACTAGGCTACCCAACTTCCCCGTCCAAGGACATTTCAATTAAGACATTTCAAATGTCAACACTAAGATGCTTTAATTTTAATAGGATATTTATATATTTTCAACATTTGCCAGTAATAACCAACACATATTAATAATCAGTGTTATTTATAATTTTGGAATGCAAGAAAGAAACCCAAATCAAGTCTACATGTCAGCAAGTCTACATCACAGTGTTAATAATATCTGTATAGGGCTGATGGTCCTAAAACTGTTATACAAGTTACTTCTTAAGTTATGTTGGTGGTTTCAGAAGGACCCCAGATCAAGTCTACATGTCAGCAAGTCTACACTACTGGGGTGACCTCAACAGTGTCGACACCCCTAAATTTCATGTGGTGTATTTCTTTTTGTCACAGAGGCTCAATGTTAGTCTGGGTGTGAGACTCAGTGATATGGAGCAGTTGTAGGGACATTAGCATTAGTGTGTTAAACATGGCTGTGAGGTGGTGGCAGGAGTGTTACAGAGATGTGTGGGACTTCGGCAAGACACAGCAGGCACAGCAAGTGACAGCAAGGCACAAGACAGCAGGTACAGCGGGAACCAGCAGGCACAGCAAGGCACAGCAAGGCACAGCAAGGCACAAGACAGCAGGTACAGCGGGAACCAGCAGGCACAGCAAGGCACAGCAGGCACAGCAAGTGACAACGGGACACAGCAAGGCACAAGACAGCAGGTACAGCGGGACACAACGAGGCACAGCAAGGCACAGTGGGATACAGCAAGGAACAGCAAGGCACAAGACAGCAGTTACAGCGGGACACAGCAAGGCACAGCAAGGCACAGTGGGCACAGCAAGGCACAGTGGGCACAGCAAGGCACAGCAAGGCACAGTGGGACACAGCAAGGCACAGCAAGTCACAGCAAGTCACAGCAAGTCACAGCGGGACAAAGCAAGACAGCAGGACACAGGTTCCAGCCACATGGGAAGATCTCCGGACACAAACCACACTACATCATTCCATCTAACTGTGAGCAGTAAAGCAAAAGCAAAAGGATTTTCAAATTGTTCCACATTCCCACACCAAGAGAGGAAATAGATGTCAGATTGATTGTGGACAAATAGAGAAAACTCTATAAATAACAAGCTGACAAATGTTAGGCAATTTTCTACAGGCTGCCAGTTTGAAGCAATTATTTGAGAGAAACTGGGAGCTTTGTTTAGATGGGTTTGGGAGAGGTCAGTAGCCTCACTGCCAAATGTTGGCTCAAATGGGCAGGGGTCAAAGCAAATATTGTGGCCTGCTGAAACCGAACAGAGGCAGCCATGTTGAATTTTGCAGTCATGTGCTGTGTTTTGCATGTGGCTCCAAACTGTGCTTGAAGCAGACGCGCAGCGAGGCCACCACTGGGCCAGCAACTCACCAAGTTTGTAAGGTAAACAGCCAGCAGTCCCCGCCTAAAAAAGAAACACCAAAAATCACGTCAGATCAGCAAATAAAACGTCCCCAGTATTTGTGAACATGTCTTCATCATTGTCCACAAAGCACGGGGCACAAGGTCGATCTGTGGACAGAGGGACAATAACAGGATGCAGTACATGACGTAACAGCCCACGGACTACAAGTGACACAGCAAATCAACATTAAATGTACAAACAATCACACAACCGATGCTAATTGAATTTCGACAGATAAGTTGATATAGTGTTGTAATCGTGACAATCAGACCCCACGCCCTTCTCCCCTGCTAGCTTGTCACACATTCATGAAATAACTGCCGGGAAGTGTGTAATTTGCCCACAAAAACAAGTACCTGCCACGAGATTCCAGGTAAAGCCTGACCAAACACCTCTCCCTCCCTCCACTGACAACACTATATTTAACCAGTGCTTTATTTACATCCTCCATTCTAGCCATATCAAACAAATTCTGATGCTTGCAAATCAAGAACATACAAAATTGCAAGAATATTTGTATTTTTTCCTCCCAAAGTGAAAGGGGCATTCATACAGCAGGGGAAGCACTCAATCAATGGGCTCCATCCCTTTGCCCCTGTCAGTCATTCCTGGCAGCAAATGCTTTGTTGAGATCATAATGGAAGCAAGTTTTACTTCATAATGGTCACATCAGAAGTCAGGTTATCCTGTCATCCTCGATTCCTTCATTTTTATGGTGCCCTGTTGCTGTTAATCCATTAGAGCCAGTCAAACTAAACATGGCTGTTCAGATGTGGTCTTGTGGTGACAATTTGTCTACTCAGCCCCAAAAGAAGTTGCGTTTCTTTTTTTCTTACAGAATCAGCCCTGGCCTTGAAATAAAATTCCGTTTGAAAAACAGGTGGAAATTGATGCGACTGAACAAGAAATGAAAAACTTTTCTATTTTTGCCCAACACAGAATTTACTCAAAAAGAAAGTCCTTCAAATAATATCAAAGGCATTGAGTAGATTATGTCATTGTTGCTGGGATTTCATCAAAGACTGGTATTGAGAGTCTGTGAGGACATGACAAGCAGAGGGCCAGTGTGTTTCAAGCACTGCAGTATGCATCCAACACTCCACGTACAATGATTAAACAAGGACACTTGATGCCTATGGAAGGACAAGTTCGTGCTTTTCCAGGAAAGTTTATATTCCTGATTAACATATATAAATTAGAGGGATGAGAGGGGGTGGTCATGGAGGATAGAGTGAGTGAATTAATATTTAACGTCACATCGACATTATTTCAGCCATATCATGACAAGGAGGTTAGAGGTGGTGGTCATGGGGTTAGAGGAGTGGTCATGGAGGTTAGAGGTGGTGGTCATGGAGGTGAGAGGAGTGGTCATGGAAGTTAGAGGGGGTGGTCATGGAGGTTAGAGGAGTGGTCATGGAAGTTAGAGGGGGTGGTCATGGAGGTTAGAGGGATGATCATGGGAGTTAGAGGGGTGGTCATGGAAGTTAGAGGGGCAGGTCATGGAGGTTAGAGGAGTGGTCATAGAAGTTAGAGGGGGTGGTCATGGAGATTAGAGGGATGATCATGGGAGTTAGAGGGGTGGTCACAGAAGTTAGTGGGGGTGGTCATGGAGGTTAGAGGGGGTGGTCATGGAGGTCAGAGGGATGATCATGGAGGTTAGAGGGGGTGGTCATGGGGTAAGAGGAATGATCATGGGAGTTAGAGGGGGTGGTCATGGGGTAAGAGGAATGATCATGGGAGTTAGAGGGGGTGGTCATGGGGTAAGAGGAATGATCATGGGAGTTAGAGGGGGTGGTCATGGGGTTAGAAGGGTGGTCATGGAGGATAGAGGCAGTGGTCATGGGGTTAGAAGGGTGGTCATGGAGGTAAGAGGAGGTGGTCATGGGGTTAGAAGGGTGGTCATGGAGGTAAGAGGAGGTGGTCATGGGGTTAGAGGGGGTGGTCATGGAAGAAAGAGGGGGTGGTCATGGGGTTAGAAGGGTGGTCATGGAGGAAAGAGGCGGTGGTCATGGGGTTAGAAGGGTGGTCATGGGGTTAGAGGGGGTGGTCATGGAGGTTAGAAGGGTGGTCATGGGGTTAGAAGGGTGGTCATGGGGTTAGAGGGGGTGGTCATGGAGGAAAGAGAGGGTGTCATGGGGTTAGAAGGGTGGTCATGGAGGTAAGAGGAGGTGGTCATGGGGTTAGAAGGGTGGTCATGGGGCTAGAAGGGTGGTCATGGAGGATAGAGGCGGTGGTCATGGAGGTTAGAAGGGTGGTCATGGAGGATAGAGGCAGTGGTCATGGAGGTTAGAAGGGTGGTCATGGGGTTAGAAGGGTGGTCATGGAGTTAGAAGGGTGGTCATGGAGGATAGAGGGGGTGGTCATGGGGTAAGAAGGGTGGTCATGGAGGTTAGAAGGGTGGTCATGGAGGATAGAGGCAGTGGTCATGGGGGTTAGAGGGGGTGGTCATGGAGGTTAGAGGAGGTGGTCATGGGGTTAGAAGGGTGGTCATGGAGGATAGAGGCGGTGGTCATGGAGGAAAGAGGGGGTGGTCATGGGGTTAGAGGGGGTGGTCATGGAGGTAAGAAGGGTGGTCATGGAGGATAGAGGGGGTGGTCATGGGGTTAGAAGGATGGTCATGGAGGTTAGAAAGGTGGTCATGGAGGATAGAGGCGGTGGACATGGGGGTTAGAGGGGGTGGTCATGGAGGTTAGAGGAGGTGGTCATGGGGTTAGAAGGGTGGTCATGGAGGATAGAGGCAGTGGTCATGGGGTTAGAAGGGTGGTCATGGAGGTAAGAGGAGGTGGTCATGGGGTTAGAAGGGTGGTCATGGAGGTAAGAGGAGGTGGTCATGGGGTTAGAGGGGGTGGTCATGGAAGAAAGAGGGGGTGGTCATGGGGTTAGAAGGGTGGTCATGGAGGAAAGAGGCGGTGGTCATGGGGTTAGAAGGGTGGTCATGGGGTTAGAGGGGGTGGTCATGGAGGTTAGAAGGGTGGTCATGGGGTTAGAAGGGTGGTCATGGGGTTAGAGGGGGTGGTCATGGAGGAAAGAGAGGGTGTCATGGGGTTAGAAGGGTGGTCATGGAGGTAAGAGGAGGTGGTCATGGGGTTAGAAGGGTGGTCATGGGGCTAGAAGGGTGGTCATGGAGGATAGAGGCGGTGGTCATGGAGGTTAGAAGGGTGGTCATGGAGGATAGAGGCAGTGGTCATGGAGGTTAGAAGGGTGGTCATGGGGTTAGAAGGGTGGTCATGGAGTTAGAAGGGTGGTCATGGAGGATAGAGGGGGTGGTCATGGGGTAAGAAGGGTGGTCATGGAGGTTAGAAGGGTGGTCATGGAGGATAGAGGCAGTGGTCATGGGGGTTAGAGGGGGTGGTCATGGAGGTTAGAGGAGGTGGTCATGGGGTTAGAAGGGTGGTCATGGAGGATAGAGGCGGTGGTCATGGAGGAAAGAGGGGGTGGTCATGGGGTTAGAGGGGGTGGTCATGGAGGTAAGAAGGGTGGTCATGGAGGATAGAGGGGGTGGTCATGGGGTTAGAAGGGTGGTCATGGAGGTTAGAAGGGTGGTCATGGAGGATAGAGGCGGTGGACATGGGGGTTAGAGGGGGTGGTCATGGAGGTTAGAGGAGGTGGTCATGGGGTTAGAGGGGTGGTCATGGAGGTAAGAAGGGGTGGTCATGGAGGAAAGAGGGGGTGGTCATGGAGGAAAGAGGGGGTGGTCATGGGGTTAGAGGGGGTGGTCATGGAGGAAAGAGGGGGTGGTCATGGGGTTAGAAGGGTGGTCATGGAGGAAAGAGGGGGTGGTCATGGGGTTAGAGGAGGTGGTCATGGGGTTAGAAGGGTGTCATGGAGGATAGAGGGGGTGGTCATGGGGTTAGAGGAGGTGGTCATGGGGTTAGAAGGGTGGTCATGGAGGATAGAGGCGGTGGTCATGGAGGAAAGAGGGGGTGGTCATGGGGTTAGAGGGGGTGGTCATGAGGAAAGAGGGGGTGGTCATGGGGTTAGAGGCAGTGGTCATGGGGTTAGAGGGGGTGGTCATGGGGTGAGAAGGGTGGTCATGGAGGAAAGAGGGGGTGGTCATGGAGGTTAGAGGAGGTGGTCATGGGGTTAGAAGGGTGGTCATGGAGGATAGAGGCGGTGGTCATGGAGGAAAGAGGGGGTGGTCATGGGGTTAGAAGGGTGGTCATGGAGGTAAGAAGGGTGGTCATGGGGTTAGAAGGGTGATCATGGAGGATAGAGGCGGTGGTCATGGGGTTAGAAGGGTGGTCATGGAGGTTAGAGGGGGTGGTCATGGGGTTAGAAGGGTGATCATGGAGGATAGAGGCGGTGGTCATGGGGTTAGAAGGGTGGTCATGGAGGTAAGAGGAGGTGGTCATGGGGTTAGAAGGGTGGTCATGGGGCCAGAAGGGTGGTCATGGAGGATAGAGGCGGTGGTCATGGAGGTTAGAAGGGTGGTCATGGAGGATAGAGGCGGTGGTCAGGGAGGTTAGAAGGGTGGTCTTGGGGTTAGAAGGGTGGTCATGGAGTTAGAAGGGTGGTCATGGAGGATAGAGGGGGTGGTCATGGGGTTAGAAGGGTGGTCATGGAGGTTAGAAGGGTGGTCATGGAGGATAGAGGCGGTGGTCATGGGGGTTAGAGGGGGTGGTCATGGAGGTTAGAGGAGGTGTCATGGGGTTAGAGGGGGTGGTCATGGAGGTAAGAAGAGGTGGTCATGGAGGAAAGAGGGGGTGGTCATGGAGGAAAGAGGGGGTGGTCATGGAGGTTAGAGGAGGTGGTCATGGGGTTAGAAGGGTGGTCATGGAGGATAGAGGCGGTGGTCATGGAGGAAAGAGGGGGTGGTCATGGGGTTAGAAGGGTGGTCATGGAGGTAAGAAGGGTGGTCATGGAGGATAGAGGGGGTGGTCATGGGGTTAGAAGGGTGATCATGGAGGATAGAGGCGGTGGTCATGGGGTTAGAAGGGTGGTCATGGGGTTAGAAGGGTGGTCATGGAGGTAAGAGGAGGTGGTCATGGGGTTAGAAGGGT